GATCATAAAAATCGAATCACTGGATGCGGAGTTCGTTAACTTTGAATTTTAATATTATTGTTTACTATAAAATCATATGACTATGACGTAATTTCGACCATTTTGACTTTTGGAGGGGCTCAAGTCGAAATCATTTCGACCATTTCGACCATTTCGGAGGTCAAAATTAACCAATTTCAGTTTCATGTATAGTTAATACGCTAAAAAGGAAAAAAATCATAACAATATAATATAAAATTTCCTTTTATAGTAGGATCTGCAAAGAATTTTATATATGATTTTTACCTTAGGCCTGGGGTGACCTATCTTACACAGGTCGAAAAGTGAAAATCAGGCATCAATCAGTCACCAATCGGTCACCAATTAGGTAGCTGATTGGTAACTGATTGGTAACTGATTGGTGACTGATTGGCATTTTTGCCAAATACCGTTACCAATTAGGCAGTTTGCTAACTTTTGATCCAGTAATCAGCAAAGGATGAAATATAGTTCATTGGAATTGTCTCAACAAGACAAATCTAATGGTAGTAAAATCACATTTCCAGAATTAATACTTGTTGAGAAATTAATTAAAATATAAAAATAAAAATATATCATTTATATTTTATTTAATTTTTTATTAACTATTAATCCTAGAAATGCAATTTTACTACCAATAGATTCGTCTTGTTAAGACAATTCCAATAAGCTATATTTCATTCTTTTCTGATCACTGGATTAAAAGTTAGCAAACTGCCTAATTGGTAATGGTATTTGGCGAAAATGCTAATTAGTCACCAATTGTCACCAATCAGCTACCTGATTGGTAACTGATTGGTGACTGATTGATGCCTGATTTTTGGCCTGTGTTATAAGTAAGCGGGATCCTGATTTACCACAAGATCCATAATCTAATCTATTAAGTATTTTATGTTTAATTGTTTTTGCATTAAAATTTGTATTGTATGTAAATTCTTTATTGATTTTTATAATTTATTGAAAAATTGTTAATGCATTCTCAATACCCTGATTCATTCCAAATAATAAAGTTTCAGTAGTTAATTCAATAATCTGCTCTGGATTAGTTTTTACTTCAATTGGCAACTGAATTTGAAAAGCTATTCGAAGGGTTGCATGAGAACTGCCATAGATAATGTTATAAATATTACCAAATTTGAAGGTTTTTTCTTTAAAATCAATATTATCAATGATGGCTAAATTCTAAATATTCTTCCCTTTAATTAGATGTTTTAATGGATCTGTTTCATTCATTCTAATTTTTGCAAATGTCATTCATATTGATCTGTATAAGATGATACATGGCAAACTTTCAATAATTGTCAAAAATAACTTAATAATCATGGTATATAACTGAAACTAGCTAAAATTTGAAGTAGCTAAACTTTCAAATAAGGAAAAGCCAAATTTAATAATATTGATGTAATTAACATTATAATTTTTATTGTTTCTTCTGAAATTATAATTTTTGGTAATTTGTGATGTCTTTTTTGTTTAATATTGCAAATTTTCATTTTTTTTGATATAATTTATCAATCATTCCAGAAAAAAAATCATTCGAAAATTTGGGAAAAGCATTATATTATTCTTAAATAGTTTTTGGAGATTCTATAGCAGATTTTTTTAAATTAATATTTAAACATAAGTTCATAGTTTTTGTTTAAATGCACATCCAAATTCCTATTATAATAATAGAAAAATGTTAAAATATATTTTTTTAAAAAAAATAAAAGAGAAATATTTGCCTTATAATTACTAATTTCGTCCTTTTTAATTTCTTTTTCTTTAAAAATTTTTATAAAAAGAAGTTTTATCATAAATAAACTAGGAGGTTTATTAAGAATAATTTTTTCTTATTCATAATTTAATGATGTATTAGTGGTTGGAATCAGAATTGTGATCGTGGAATCAGAACCCCAAACAATATATATAAATGTAGGTTTTAAGTTTACTTAGCCAACATATAAAAATTTTTTTCTATGTGAGATTTATTATTGCTTATTTGATAACATAATTTTAAAATAGTCAGATATAATATGTAAAGCTCTAAATGGTCTGGATTGGTCCAGGTTGAAGAGTAACTCAGGACCGAACCGAAAAATTAGTTCATTTCGGTCTGGTCCAGTTTATATTAAAAGGTGAATCCAGGATCAGACCAGACTGGACCAGTTATTTTAGTTCGGTCCGGTCCAGTCCTATAATAAAAAAATATTACGAAAACGTTTTTTAGTTATAATTATTTAGAAAAAACGTTTTGCAACGTTTTTTCGTTAAATTAATTAGAAAAACGTTGCGAAAACATTTTTTCTAATTAAATATACTTAGAAAAAACGTTGTGAAACGTTTTTTCGCTAAATTAATTAGAAAAACGTTGTGCAAATGTTTTTTCTAATTAAATATACTTAGAAAAAACATTTCATAACGTTTTTTCATTAAATTAATTAGAAAAACGTTGCGCAAACATTTTTTCTAATTAAATATGATAAGAAAAAACGTTTTGCAACGTTTTTTCTTTAAACTAATTAAAAAAATGTTGCGCAAACATTTTTTCTAATTAAATATAATAAGAAAAAACGTTTCGCAACATTTTTTCTTTAAACTAATTAGAAAAACGTTGCGCAAACATTTTTTCTAATTAAATATAATAAGAAAAAATGTTTCGCAACGTTTTTTCTTTAAGATTCGATCCGCCTATGATCGACAGAAAATTACTATATAAATTCGGGGGAAATTTTATTGCAAAAAATAAACTAAATAGGCAAAATTTTGCCAATCAAAATCATCACAAATCATGTTGTGGTACCAAGTCATGTGATGAAACTTAAAAATGCCAAGAAAAATATCGAGAAAAATATTTTCACATAGAAACTCACAATAAACGCTAAAATCTGACACCTACCGTGTCTTAAATATTCATTTATTCAGTAAAATTGCTTCACGCATGAAAATTACTCAAATATTATTGTCAAAGGGATGGTTTTTTGGCTAAAAACAAGCGTAACTAACGTACAAATAGAAAAGATCTAAAAATGAAAAATTCAACCTAAAATAACCTATCTGCTATATAAATCCTTCTAAAAGCCATTATTACCTATTGTTCTGGTAATTGTATGTTATTTTTTTTTATATTATTGTTACAACACTTTCAAAAAGCTAATAATATTTTGCAAACTAATGCTAAGAGTTTGTG